AACATAAATGTTTTTTATTGGGGGTTTTCCGTGACCAACACAAAGTGAAACATAGTTGTGAAGTGGAAGGAAAATAAGTTATTTTCAAAAGTTCTTTTTAGAAATTAATATCTGAAAAGTAAGGCGTGCATTTGTAATCGGGCCCCCTTTACTCTGATACCCCTAGCTAAAATTTAGTGGAACTAATTGCCTTCAGAACCACCTAATTACTAAATAGTCCACCTGTGTGTAATTTAATGTCAGTATAAATACAGCTGTTCTGTGAAGCCCTCAGATGTTTGTTGGAGAACATTAGTGAACAAACAGCATCATGAAGGCCAAGGAACACACCGGGCAGGTCAGGGATAAAGTTGTGGAGAAGTTTAAAGCAGGGCTGGGCTATTTAAAAAAAAAAAAAAAAAAAAAAAAAAAAAAAAAACAATTATACCAAGCTTTGGACATCTCATGGAACACTGTTCAATCCACCATCCGAAAATGGAAAGCGTATGGCACAACAGCAAACCTACCAAAACGTTGCCGTCCACCTAAACTGACATGCCGGGCAAAGAGAAGCAGCCAAGAGGCCAATGGTAACTCCGGAGGAGCTGCAGAGATCCACAGCTCAGGTGGGCGAATCTGTCCACAGGACAACTATTACTTGTGCACTCCACAAATCTGGCCTTTATGGAAGAGTGGCAAGAAGCCAATGTTGAAAGAGAGCCATAAGAAGTCCCGTTTGCTGTGTCCCCCACATGGCTTCTCGCAAACTTCAAAAGTGGAAGAAGGTGCTCTGGTCAGGTGAGACCAAAATTGAATTTTTTGGTCTAAAAGCAAAACGTTATGTGTGGTGGAAAACGAACACTGCACATTACACTGAACACACCATTCCCACCATGAAACATAGTGGTGGCAGCATCATGTTGTGAGGATGCTTTTCTTCAGCAGGGACAGGGAAGCTGGTCAGAGTTGATGGGAAGATGGATGGAGCCAAATACAGGGCAATCTTAGAAGAAAACATGTTAAGTCTGCAGAAGACTTGTGCTGCTGGAAGGTGAACCTCCGCCCCAGTCTCTACGACCCAAAACATCCAGCCAGAGCTACAATGGAATGGTTTAGATCAAAGCATATTCATGTGTTAGAATGGCCCAGTCAAAGTCCAGACCTAAATCCAATTGAGAATCTGTGGCAAGACTTGAAAATTGCTGTCCAGATGCTCTCCATCCAATCTGACAGAGCTTGAGCTATTTTGCAAAAAGAATGGGCAAAAATTGCACTCTAGATGTGCAAAGCTGGTAGAGACATCCACAAAAAGACTTGCAGCTGTAATTGCAGCAAAAGGTGGCTCTACAAAGTATTGACTCGGGGGGGCTGAATACAAATGCTGCCACACTTTTCACATATTTATTTGTAAAAAAATGTTGAAAACCATTTATCATTTTCCTTCCACTTCACAATTATGTGTCACTTTGTGTTGGTTTATCACATAATAACCCAATAAAATAAATTACGTTTTTGGTTTTAACATGACAAAATGTTGAAATTTTCAAGGGATACTTTTTTAAGGCACTGTAAATGTGTTGCAAGTTTTGTTTCTGACATTTATAAAAACTAAAACTGCTTTGAATAAGCCGTAGAACATCTTTGAGATTATAGAACAAGTCCAGTTGAATGTTATGAACTACTACTAGCACCCTTAAAAAATGTTGTACCATGCACTTATATGAAAAAGTCTCCTTTTCTTTGTTTTGCCTCCTTTGTGTAAAATCCCTGCTGTTCCTGCCACTCCCTCTGCTTTCTTATTAAACACTGACCACACTAAGCATGACATCACAGCGTGGTCAGTTCTCTAGCCGTGCTGACAACACAGCGACCCACCTCTGCCGCACAGCCATTCCCTGGGAAGATTAGTGTCCTGCTGTTTTCTCCTCCAGCTCTTTATATATACTCTCTCTCTCTCTCTCTCTCTCTCTCTCTCTCTCTCTCTCTCTCTCTCTCTCTCTCTCTCTCTCTCTCCTCTCTCTCTCTCTCTCTCTCTCTCTCTCTCTCTCTCTCTCTCTCTCTCTCTCTCTCCTCTCTCTCTCTCTCTCTCTCTCTCTCTCTTTTTATTTCTATTTCTATGTTAAACTAAATGGGTTGTTTTATAAAGAGTTTCCGTTTTAAGTATTGAGGATTGACTGTATAGCATTAGGGTAACCACAGGGTCACTTTTATTCATAGTGCCATCCATATACAAAGTACTATACCTTACTTTTTTTTTTGTAGCCCATGTTTAGAAAAGTCTGCACTCCAACGGCAGATGCAAATCTTGCAAGCCAGGAGTGTGAGCAAGTACTATACTTACCTGCAGGTATAGAATACATTCAAAAGACTGCCAAGATGAGATGCAGCGACTTTTGAATACATGGGCCAACGGAAAGCTTGAATACATTACTTCTGCCAATTGAGTAAAGGTGACTGTGTGATGACAGGGTCACTTTAAAGAGTTGATTGTTTTAAGGCATCATTTTTAGATGTTGAGGTTCAGATAGGGGAGGGTTTTATGTTATGCGCTGTTTAACAGTTTAGGGTACGCTAGCGTCGCGGCACACTTCGAAGAATTTTATTTCAAATTTTTTTTGCACCAAAAACCCAATACCCAGACCTACAGCACCGGATTCCTGCACCAAAAACACACACCAGATGCACTCTAATGAGCGCCTGTGTACCGAGGATGGCCTCCGTGCTTCCTTTTTTATTTTGAGTCTATCTTCTGGAAAAAGAGCTTTTGTCTAACTCGTGACTTGTTAATTACCCTTACATCGCCTCTTCAAGTGTGCGTTGTAATATAAGCTCAGTAATTGAAGATGAAGTGAGTTCTAAGCAACTGAATACCTTCAGCCTTTACGCCACCAATTCATTATCTCTCATGCTCTCAGGCTTGATTAAAAAAAAAATATAAAAATATTGCGGGTCACGATAGCTGTAATTATCCTAAAGAGTGTAATTATCCTCCAGGCTTCTGTAATCAACGCTCCCGGTTTGTCATTTTTTTTTTCTTTCTATATTGTCCGAGAATTTGCTAACACAGTCCAAAGTGATTTTGGCAGTGTTATCTATTTTCTTAATTATTTCTGAACTCGAGGGATGTATTGCGCATTGTTCCAGGATGCGCACGAACACTGCTTTTCTAAGCTTTTTTTCATGCCCTCGGGGATGGAAGAGAGAAAAAAATTATGTTGAATCAACACTACTTAATTAACACCTTGATGATTAAAGTAGCAAGCAGACCTGAAAAAGAATTTTGAATAAATGCGCTTCCCACTTTTGACTTCTACAAACTGTTTAGTGATCTCTTCATTAAGATTTAGCTTATTGTTTTTATCATGGTGCTTTGCCTTATTAGATAAATGGTATTCTATACATCCCTTTTTGCAGTGGCAGCAAAGCTGTGTACAGGCCAGCAAAGAAATATTCCAATTATACAGTTACAGGGGTACTTCTATGTAAATCTGTCATAAGTGATGTGTGTGTATAATAATAATATATTAAAAAAAAATCTATCTGTATATATCTATATATATATATATATATATATATCTATATATATCCATCTATCCATCCATCCATCCATCCATGGAGCTCTCCCCTCCAATCCACTAATGTTGAGTGCATGTAGCTTTACTCCAATATGTAGGAAAAAATGTCCATGAGGTGCCATAATCGACCACATGGAAATATTTGTTGCTTGTCAGTATGTGGCTTCAATTCTGAGGCATGTAGCCCAAAGCAATTAAAATACTACTGCTCAAATGACCCCCACAACTGTTTCAGTCAGGTCAGCATGTGAATAGACTGGTGCCAGACACAGGATTGGCTTGTCGGGGTCTAGTAGACTTCAACAAAATGGTGGTCACCTGCACACTGATTCCCTGTTGCATAAATGTAATGAGATGGGTAAGAGATGGCTTCAGCTCCTGATATCCACCAGTAGAGAACGTCTTAGACCTGTTTCACCCTTTTTGCCTGTTCGATTAAGCCCTGAAATGGGTGAAATGCATTCTCTACAGGTGGGGAACAGGAGCTTAAGTCATCTTTTGCTCATTTAATTCACATTTATGCAACAGGGAGTTAATATCTATTTGCAGACGGCCACCATTTTGTTCAATTCTTAGGAGTCTCGGCAAATGAAAATCTGTTTACTGTAGTATTTCTATTGTAAGTTAATGACTCAAACAATTGAGGTTCATGGATTAGTAGGAGTTGCCAGGTAACTAACATTTTCAGAAGATATGGCAGTCACTTAATTTCTAACGTAAAGAAAAAGGAAATTGAAGCACTACACTGATGCCAAGAGGTCTAGATACAACTTTATTCCAATAAAATTCAGGGGTACCATCCTTAAAAGTACCCAATGCATTTCGGGTGTCCAATGGTGCTTGTTGAAGCAGCTGCTGTACTTGTAATCACTGGAAGAAATAATAATAAAGGTCGAGTTCACTTTTCGTATATTCATTGTTTTCAAGCTTTGATAAAGGGTTGTCTTTAGACCACCATAATTTGCTTGGATACTTTTTGACTTTTGTTGGAATAAAGTTGTATCTGGACCTCTTAGCAGTGGTGTGGGGCTTCAGTTTCCATTTTTTGTCACATTACACTACAAACCGAGGAAACTGGAGATCCCCTTGAGGTGTGAAAGTTGTCTGCTTGGGAAGCAGATTATTTTCATTAACACCAATATTTTTAGGATAGTGCAACTAATAAGATATCCTTACAGATCCAGTGCTATTTTTTCACTTTCCTCAAACATCATTTTTAATGACAGGTTTGCTTTGAATTAGTTAATCCGCTTTGTGACGCTTTGTACTAATGAAGTTCCATATGAACTGAATTAGTCACTTTCTTTGTGGCGTTTCAGGTAAACTTAAATCATTTACAGCATTTTGTTTCATTTTTCTAGTCTTCATATATCTGTTTGGATGTTTGCTATCATTCCCCGCTGGTCTTTTTGTAATAAAATTGCTTTTTCTTTTCTCTTTGTGCAGCCAGAGAACCTGAACGCTCAATTTAGCCATATGAGTCTTGCAAGGCAGCCGTCAGCTGAGTCTTCAGATGCTCATTCCACCATGTTCCAGTCCACCGTGGTGCTCCAACCATCTCCGCAATCTGGCTATATCATGGCGCCGCCTCCTCCACCCCCACCACCCCCACTAGGCCAGTCTCACCATCCTCCCAACTACACTGCCTCCAGCCAGCCTGTCAATCCGCCAGTGCTGCAGCCACAGGGATACATTCAGCCCCCCTCTCTCCAGCAGGTACTTCTTTGGGGGGTTTTGACTCTGAAGCTTAATTTACCTTACTTTAACAAGAGAGGAGTTGTCTACAGTAAGCAACTAATATTCTAAGGTTCCAATTTCCTAGTATCTGGTTGCTTGCACAAGAACGTCTTCTGGTTTTTAGTAAGCCAGCAGTCTGATGTCAAAAGCTTAGTCAAAGGAGAGGTAGAAGTGAGGCACTTGACACACATTCTTAACAATTCGAAACAAGCATAATAGGTTTGATTCAGCAGTTCTCCACAAAACGGAGCCCCCCCTCCAAAAAAAAAAAAAAAAAAGGGATCACTGAAATTAAAAGTCCATGTATAATTGGCCCAAAAAGAGCGCCATACAAAGGTCGAGTTCAAAGTCATTTATTTCCACAAGTGACAACAGGATGGCAAAAAGTATCCACAATGTGATTATGGAGGCCACAAAATCCCCCTTTAGGGCTTTATCTATGTATCAAAAATGTCTTTTGGCCTGAAAGCAAAGCTTCTGGATGATTAACTCTAAAACAGAAGATTAAAAGTGAGTGCAACCACTGCATGTTGTTTTGTCTCTTGGCATTACCACCATACTAAGGTAATGACACCTCATTGACTTCCTGGTCTGCTGGTCGTGTGGTGTGTAATGTTGGGTACTGTCCGGCCTAACCAGCACAGGCGGTGCAGGTAAATGCAGGCGTTATATGTTACAACCAGTAGTAGTATGTTACTTTAACTTGCTTGTTTGACATGCACTAGGCTATACAAATAGATATGTCTGGATACCTAAGGCACTAATGGCCATCATCATCATCATTATGAGGGCTTAAAGAAACAAATGCATTCAAATCCCATCCAATCAGCTAGTCCCTCTTCCCATATAATTGTCAGATTTTGTTGAAGCAAAAAATCTTATTTTGGATAGCGCAGGGAAGGGTTATAAGCCCTGTCTGGTTGTACTGCTATCTGGGGTTTCCTTAGAGAGTTTTCCCCCTCACTTCCTGGTCTGCTAACTACATTTTACCAGAGAAGAAGGGATGGGGAACTCTCCAACAGCAACACAAAGAAACCATGCTTTTTAAGGAGAAGACTAGAACCCCTGTCAGATTTTTGTCTTGGTCCCTGTTGCAGATTTTCTCTCCCTTCTGTCTTGTAAAACTGTTGTCACTGGTACAAAAAAAAAAAAATTCCACTAGCAAAGCAAAGGATGGTAAGAAACCTCGTCTTGACACATGTCCTATTTCTACAGCAGCCTTTCTCAACTTTTTTTTTTTTTTTCCCTTCATCACATAGGTCACAACTTTGCCAATACCTTTGACCATCTCTGCTTGTTAAGCTTAATGGAAAAGCTAGCATCCATGGTAGCCCACATAACCATGCTGAGTATTTTGCTCTGCTATGCTCATAAAGCAATTTTACAGTGGAAGAAATATCTGTCTCCTTTGTTACAAGTTTTGCAATGGATTAGTGAATGCTGCATTTCCATTCTATAAGGCCATGTATTTGAACTGGGGTTGCCCCCAAACATTTGAGAAGGTCTGAAGTTGCTGGACCTCCACAGCAGAGATGAATGTTTAGTCCCACATGGGTGCCCAGTTGGGTTGGGTGAGGGACAGGTGACGCTGGCAGTCCCTTTGATAACTCTAGGGTTCCTCCACAGGTTTTCAGGGATTCCTTGAGAAATGAGCAATCTGTATAGGGGCAATTATATCCAATGGCCACCAAATAATATGTAAGGAGCATTCTTCCTACCGACCATCACATCAATGTATTGTGAGTTGTAGATATAGTAATTATTAGCAGGGGTTCCCTGAGTCTGAAAGTTATGTAAATGGTTCCTCTGTTGGAAAGGTTGCGAAATACTGACATAGGCTGATGAGTAGACCTCCAATGATGTAGTATCAACTGTAATCCTGGTGTGGGGGGTATTTTTTGTGGGACTAGAACTGCTTCATGGGCTAATGTCCTGAACATAATTTTTTTTTTCTTCAGAGGAACCCATGAAATTATCTTTTTCAGGTGCTTGGGAGCCCCTGCTAAAACCAATGAATTGGTGGTCAAGGGGAAGAATGACCCCCTTACAGAAAGTTAAAAAGGTATTTGAGAAACTCTAGCTGTCTCTTCCACATGGTTTTGACCCCCGGACTATGCTGACACCATTAAATGGGAGGTCCATCAGCCACAGCTCCAGGAACTACTAGCAACCAGCAGAGAACCACTAGAGTTCCACAAAACCCTGCTTGGGAATGGCTGTTCTATAGATAGCATATTTCAAAGATACATGTAGCATCTAAAAACCAGATTCCTGATTGTTATGCAGTTTGTAGTTTTTTGTGAAATATGCCATGTCAACTTTCTTCCCTTTTCTCCTTTTGCAGATCCCGACCTGCTACTGTACTCCAAATCAATTTTCCCACTCAAACCAACAATATCGACCAGTAACATCTGTCCAGTTCAATTCCCAACCAAACCAAACCAAACGCTGCCACAAGCTGCCCACCAAACAGGTTGGTGTCTTCTGGAGCTCCTTTGTTTGTTTTTTTTGTTTTTTTTTTTTTTTTTTTACAGCTGATGACCCGAGTGACGTAGAGCGGCGGGACCCGGGTCCGGGGCGCTGTCTGAGAGGGGTTACGTTTCTCACAGTGAACCGGTCTCTTTTCCAGCCACTTTCTGCTCTTCCTGGATTGCCAGTGTTTGAAAAAAGACATGATGATAGTGTATTGTTTTATATGCTTTCTTTGATGCCTTTTTAGAGTTTGGCAAAGACGTTTTCAATCTTAAGGTTACAGGTGTAGGGGTTATGCCAAATGAAACTGGTATCACGCCAAACGCTTGGAGCAGTAAATTTTTTTTTTTTTTTTTTTTTTTCTTCATTGCATGGTTCAAATAAATGTAAGACAAACTCTGCAGGGTGTAGTAAACAATGCACTATGTGTTATTAGATGGGGTTACCTACTAGTAATAGTTTACCAGCATGTAAGCAAGAGGCCTGGATTTATTTATTTAGGATATTCAGTGGTCTCCAAACTGCGGCTTGGGGGGCTGGTCATGGCCCTTTCTCTCTGCCTTTATCCAGTCGTTGGGGCACTATTCTTTCCACTGACACAAATAATGTGTCACCATTTCTCTTACTGACACCAATGATGGGGTACTATTCCTCCCACTGACACCAATGATGGGGTACTATTCCTCACACTGACACCAAAGATGAGGAACTGTTCCTCCTACTGACAGCAATGATGGAGCACTATTTCTCCCACTAAAACCAATGATATGGCTATGTTTACTCCTACTGACACCAATGATGGAGCACTATTTCTCCCACTAAAACCAATGATGGGGCACTATTCCTCCCACTAAAACCAATGATATGGCTATGTTTACGCCTACTGACACCAATGATGGAGCACTATTTCTCCCACTAAAACCAATGATGGGGCACTATTCCTCCCACTAAAACCAATGATATGGCTATGTTTACTCTCACCGACATTGGGGCATTTTCTACTCCCAGTACCCACAGTCTGACTCTCCTTAAAGTCTGAAGGCTAGTAAACTAACCCTTTTTTTTTTTGGAACATTTGGATACCCCTGGTCTAGATCTATGAATTCCCTGTGTTCCCCTTGGTTACGTTTTACTCAGAGCACACAGCACTATTCACTTCTGTCCCTGTCTTTAAGGTAACCTTGACTGTGGTAGGGCAAAAGCATGGCAAAGTACCCACACAATGAACTGTTTGGTCAGATAACAGGTTTTTAGTCATTTAGAGCAGGGGTGGCTAACCTGTGGCTCTCCAGCTGTTGTGGAACTACATTTCCCATGAAGCATTGCAAAGATGGGAAGTTACTGACTTGCAGAGGCATGATGGAACTTGTAGTCCTGCAGCAGCTGGAGAGCCGCAGGTTGGCCACCCCTGATTTAGAGGGATCCTTCACTGTCACAGTGAGAATATACAACTCCATACAGATCATTTTCCTGATGAGGTTAAGACTCTGGGACAAATTCTCTATAGAAAGGAACACTAACCTATTAAGTGCAATTATAGCACGCAGTAAAATAGCATACTGTCAAGTGAACCATGGAAGAGGCTGTTCAGAGATAACTTGCACATGTGTTAAGACTTTAAAGCTGGACTCCAGGCAAATCTAAAACACAAATTGATGCAGCTATGTATGTATTTGTAAAGGCAAGTACCTGAATTTTGACCTGGTATCGGCTTCTAACAGTCCCCTATACAACAGAGTGGTAAAGGGAAAACCAGCACAAAGTGACATTCTAAGTGGAGAGTGATCGTGTTAACCAGTGTGCTGCTTTTCATCTTAAGCTGGCCACAGATGGATCTAATCTGTAACCGGTCGATATTAGATCCATCTATAGGCAGGCTGACTGTACTCAAGTCGATTGATCGACCAACTTGGGTACAACCAGCCCATCGGATTTTTTAGCATTCAATTACTGCCCATGGCTATAAACTGCTAGTAGTAATCTTTGTGTTCTGCTGGCCTGGAAAGCTCCCCTACCATCAGAAAACAATAGTGCTGCAGGAGGCATTCCCCCATCAACACATTCAGTGTTGATGGGGGAATCAAGCGATCTTCTTTCCTTCCACCTATGATGGAAGGGAAAAAAAAAATTGATCTATGGCTTGCCTTACTGGCTGGGGCAGGGACAAGACTTGTAAATATTACTTAATGTGATCCTTGGCCCAGACTATGGATCTTAAACTATTTACATATTAAAAAGCAGTAAACCAAACTCTCTAGTTTCTTTTAATGTGAAGGTATTCATTCTCAACACAGCATAGCAAAGACTCTAAAGTCAGGTTTAATTCAGTTCTAGTGCCTTAGAATCTCATGCTGTGTGTTCCCATTAGATCTGCTCTCATTAGAAAAAAGATAGGATGCCGCTTGTGTGTGAACTTTGAAAATGAATTTCTTCACCATGCTTTTAGATGTAGAGATAGATAAGGTCTTGTTTTTAACGTGCTTCTACTGCTTCATCAGAGTATGTAAATACTAATAATAAGTGTGCATTACCTGGGCACAGGTTCAATAACACTGCAGCAGAGAAAATTATAGGTTTTCTGTTCTGCCAGACAGGGGTGTGATGAGCTGTGCCATTCTCAGGACTGGATAAACAAATATCATTTGACAGGTAAAGTTGTTTGTTCTATGTATTTCCATCTGTCTGTTTTAGCTATTTGCCTGGAGTTAAGCTTGAAAGCAAAAGTGTTACACCTTTAGCCCTGGTTCACAGTGGTGCGACTTGACAGATAAATGTTGCATGACAAGTTGCACCCTATTGCCGGCTGTTCAAATCTGTGCGATTTCTGATTTGCACCAACTTTGAAAAGGTTCCTTCACTGTTTTTTTTTTTTTTTTCTTGCAATTTGCCTTGACATCTGAAGTAGCACGATTCCAAAGCCGCATTGTGGGTGAACCAGGGTGAACTTTTCATTAAAAGATGTTACGTACTTCTAACTACAAAACTGTGAATTGAAAATGTTCGGTAAAATGTTACTGATGAAGTGCTTTATCCTAAAATGGCACAAAAAGTCACTGGCACTTGTAATAACTCAATTGCATTGATCAGATTTACATTAAACAGCCAGCGACTGCCTAATGTATTTTGGTCTTCTATGAAAGCCATGCTGTTAGGGAGAGACTCCAAGTAGAAACATAAAACATACATTTCTTCAACAATTAAGTAGATGTAACCCTGAAGAATAAATGTAGTTTGTTAAATCCCATTGTTTCATAAACAATTTCCATGTGTTTATTTTATAAAATACTTTTAGCCCTTTTTTTTCTTCTTTTTTTGCGTCTTGGTGCTACTGATCCTCTCCGGCCTCCTTTAGCCACTTCCTGTCTACATGCACTTTCCCTAGATTTGGCTGCACACCATTGCTTTAGACCTGCTTACTGATAGTGACAACAGTAGATGGTGCCTGTACTATGTGTGTCAGTATGATCTCATGTCCCCATTAGGGTAGCTTGTGATAGGGTGACAATGCAACTTCACAGCTAGTTTTCACCCTATAGCAGGGCAGCACAGTGGCTAAATGGTTAGCACTTCCGCCTGGCAGTACTAGGATTGTCGGTTTGAATCCCAACCACCTGCCTAGAGTTTGCATGTTCTCCCTGTGCCTGCGTGGGTTTCCTCCGGGTACTCCGGTGTCCTCCCACACTCCAAAGACATGCTGGTAGGTTAATTGGATCCTGTCTAAATCTGCCCTAGTGTGTGTATGAATGTGAGTTAGGGACCTTAGATTGTACGCCCCTTGAGGGTTAGGGACTGATGTGAATGTACAATATATATGTAAAGCGCTGCGTAAATTGATGGCGCTATATAAGTACCTGAAATAAATAAATATAGCGGGAAGTGCCTGTACAAGAATCTTGGCAGGATTATCAGGTATTTTAATAAAAGTCTGAAGATTTTACCATATTGAAGCTACTTTTGAGATGACATTAAAGTACTATTAATACCAAAACCAAAAATTTAATATATTACAGCTTACCAATCATTTAGATGTGGTGGCTGCATTCATTTTCTTTCGTAGGCTTTTTCCTTCTGTTTTCACCTGGTGATCTAGCCAGTAACACACTTCCTGTATTAGAGCACCCCCACTCTGGATAAAAGAGCACAGGGGGCACCTTTGGACAGCAGCATTGGTAATCTGGGGGGAGAGGAGAGTTAGATGTACTAGTAGATTTACAAATTGTAGCTGAACTCCAGCTAACACCTTAAAAGCAGTTACAGCAAACTTTTTTTTTTTTTTTTTTTTTTTTTTTTGATAAAGGTTTTACATAAATAAAAGCTGAACTTTTGTATGCATCCTTGTTAGTAGCAAATGGTTGGTCTCAAGTCTATAACTGTGACTTCTGCAGAACAGCTTGTTCTGTTGAAAAACAGACATACTGGCAGGATCCACCAGGTGAAAGTGAAGGAAAGAAAACTTATGCAGCCATTACATCTAAGGACTGGTAAGCTGCAATATAATGTTTGCTTTTGGGTTTAATACTGCTTTAACATGCTACAGCTGATACAAAAGTAGATGTAAACGGAATCGCTCAAACTTCATAAGACAGGTTGGAGGCAGATAAAAGTCGAATTTTCCTTTTTATGACAGCTTTGTGACGGGCCACCTTGGTGTTAAAGTACACATTGGGAAGGGTTTTATAAAACTATATTCTTTTTTTGCGTGTGGCGATGCAGATTAAATTGTGCCACCTCCAAAGATTAGCGCAGACTGCAGCCCAAGGGTGGCTTAGCTATTATGTCACTATTTAAGTTGATGTCTAATGATATGAGGATAAAAGCTTTTTACAGTGACAGTAAATGTATGGTGCCTGGCAGCCGGCAGTGAAGGGGAGAGCCTCCATTTTATTGAGGTTTCTTTTTTCATATGTAAATTAAACCGTGCGCTGGGTTTGCAGGATTCATCTCGACTCCCCTTCCATGTTACTGCTGTGCGGGGGAGCAGCACTTGATGTCTGCGCCTTTATTGAAACGCAGCAGGGTGCACTTTGTCTTGTTGAATGTGCAGACTGAGAATTAAATTTAAGTGAACCCTCTTCCCCTCTTCTGCACAACACAAATGTCTTTATAGTCCCTGCCTCCCACTGCTCTCTCACTGCTGGGTCAAGGAGAATACTGACTAGGGGGTGGCTAAAGAAAAAAAAAGTTGATCTTTCAGCCTTCAATGTTGAAATTGATCTTTTGTATGCATGTCAGACTTTTTGTTTGTTTGAATACTCCGTATTCACATTCCCTCTGTTCTCATCTGTATAGAGAGCTCAAAAACAGCAGCAAACTGATCTTCCCAGAGAAAGGCTTTTGGGGAGGGGGGGGGGGGTGTCAGGACAAGTCTAAGCATTGGAGGAGAGCAGGCTGAGTTCCCAGCACAGCTAGAGAACTGACCATGCTGTGCTCTCGTGCCTAGTGTGGTCAGAGTTTTTAATAGGAAAGCAGTGGAACTGACAGGAACACCAGGGATTTCACACAAAGGAAGCAATGCATAGAGAACAGGAGAATTTTTCATACACGTACATGGTACAGTAGGCACATATCGGGACTATGAAATGTTGGGTTTACATATTCTTCAATTTTATCATTTTAGTAAAGATTGGTTGCATCATTGGCACATGAGTGGCATTGTGTCCTGCCTAGAAAAATGTCTGCGTTATGCCCATTGTACCTGATCAGGTTCTTATCTGTGCTCTAGTATGATGCCCAGTGTGCGTCAGGGTCACTTACTGCTACTGATTCCTAAATATTGAGTCGTAATATAGAGTGGTCTTCGCTGTATGTAATGATCTCTTAGGTGTATTCCTCCATCTTCTCTTTCAGGTTATACGACGGTAATGCCCAGCCAGCAACCAAACTACCAGGGTATGGTGAATATCCAGCAGCCTCAGAATCAGACCTTGGTTAGTGGCCAGCCTGGCAGTCTAGCCAATCCTATTCAGGGTGTGATGGTGCAGTACTCCTCAGTGCCCTCTTACCAGGTATTATGAACTAGGTTTTTAGCAATTAGGCAATCCTCTGCATGCACCACTGCTCCAAAACGCCACAATATACAGTGCATCCAGAAAGTAGTCACAGCGCTTAACTTTTGCCACATTTTGTTATGTTACAGCCTTATTCCAAAATTGTAAAATGCTGAGAAAAAAATGCATTTAATCCAACATTCCATAATGACGTGTAAAGCTTGTTTTGAAATCTTTGCAATTTATTCAAAATAAAAAACAAAAAATCACATGTACATAAGTATTCCCAGCCTTTGCCATGACACTCAAAATTGAGCTCTGGTGCATCCTGTTCCCATTGATCATCCTTGAGATGTTTCCACAACTTGATTGAAGTCCACCTGTGGGAAATTCAGTTGATTGGACATGATTAGGCGTAAACCTGTCTATAGAAGGTCCCACAGGTAACAGTGCATGTCAGAGCACAAACCAAGCCATGAAGTCCAAGGAATTGGCCTCTGAGACAGGATTGTATCAAAGCACCGATCTGGGGAAGGGTACAGTAAACTTTCTGCAGCATTGAAGGTCCCAGTGAGCAAAGTGGTCTCATCCGTAAATGGAAGAAGTTTGGAACCACCAGGAATCTTCTTAGAGCAGGTTGCCTGGCCAAAATGATCGATCGAGGGAGAAGGGCCTTAGCTAGGGAGGTAACCAAGCACCTGATGGTCACTCTGAAAGAGCTACAGCATTTCTCTGTGGAGAGTGGAGAACCTTTCAGAAGAACAACCATTTCTGCAGCACTCCACCAATCAGGGCTGCATGGTAGAGTAGCCAGACAGAAGCCAATCCTCAGTAAAAGGCAAATGGCAGCCTGCCTTGAGTTTGGCAAAAGGCACCTGAGGGACTCTCAGACCATGAGAAACTAAACTCTTTGATCTGATGAAACAAAGATTGAACACTGTGGCCTGAATGCCGAGCGTCATGTCTGGAGGAAACCAGGCACCGCTCACCAGCTGGCCAATACCATCCCTACAGTGAAGCATGGTGCTGGCAGCATCATACTGTGGGTATGTTTTTCAGTGGCAGGAACTGGGAGACTAGTCAGGATCGAAGGAAATATGAATGTAGCAATGTACAGAGAAATCCTTGATGAAAACCTGTTCTAGAGCACTCTGGACCTTTAGACTGGAGTGATGGTTCATCTTTCAACAGGACAACGACCCTAAGCACACAGCCCACATAGCAAAGGAGTGGCTACTGGTCAACTCTGTGAATGTCCTGGAGTGGTCTAGCCAGAGCCAACACTTGAACCCGGTTGAACGTCTATGTAGAGATCTGAAAATGGCTGTGCACCGATGCTCCCCATCCAACTTGATGGCGCTTGAGAGGTACTGCAAAGAATAATGGGAGAAATTGCCCAAAAATAGGTGTGCCAAGCTTGTAGCATCATGCTCAAAACGACTTGAGGCTGTAATTGGTGCTAAATACTTATGTACAGGTGAAATCCGAAAAATTAGAATATCGTGCAAAAGTTCATTTATTTCAGTAATGCAACTAAAAAGGTGAAACTAATATATGAGACTCATTACATGCAAAGCAAGATAGCTTGTCATAATTGTGGTGATTATGGCTTATAGCTCATGAAAACCCAAAAATCCACAATCTCAGAAAATGAGAATATTACATGCAATCAATAAAACAAGAATTGTGCATAGAACAATATCTGAACTCTGAAAAGTATAAGCATGCATATGTACTCAGTACTTGGTTTGGGCCCCTTTTGCAGCAATTACTGCCTCAATGTGGTGTGGCATGGAAGCTATCGGCCCGTGGCACTGCTGAGGTGTTATGGAAGACCAGGATACTTCAATAGCTGCCTTCAGCTCTTCTGCATTGTTCGGTCTCATGTCTCTCATCTTTCTCTTGGCAATGCCCCATAGATTCTCTATGGGGTTCAGGTCAGGTGAGTTTGCTGGCCAAAAGCACAGTAAATCCTGGTAGAACAGGTGCTTTGGCAGTTAGGCAGGTGCCAAGTCCTGCAGCTGGAAAATGAAGTCAGCATCCCCAATAAAGCTAGTCTGTGGAAGGAAGCATGAAGTGCTCCAAAATCTCCTGGTAGACAGCTGTGTTGACCCTGGACTTAATGAATCACAGTGGACCAACACCAACAGATGACATGGCTCTCCAAATCAACACAGACTGTGGAAACTTCGCACTGGACTTCAAGCATCTTACAGTCTGTGCCTCTCCATTCTTCCTCCATACTCTGGGTCCTTGGTTTCCAAATGAGGTGCAAAAGTTGCTCTCATCAGAAAAGAGGACTTTGGACCACTGAGCAACAGACCAGGTCTGTTTTTCTTTAGCCCAGGTAAGACGCTTCTGACGTTGTTTGTTCAGGAGCGGCTTGACAAGAGGAATACGACATTTGAAGCCCATGTCCAGGATCTGTCTGTGTGTGGGGGCTCTTGATGCACTGACTCCAGCCTCAGTCCACTCCTTGTGAAAGTCCCCAACACTTTTGAATGGCCTTTTCCTGACAATCCTCTCCAGGCTGCGGTCATCCCTGCTGCTTGTGCACCTTTTTCTTCCACACTTTTCCCTTTCACATAACTTTCTATTAATGTGCTTTGATACAGCACTTTGGGAACATCCAACTTCTTTTGCAATTACCTTTTGAGGCTTTCCCTCCTTATGGAGGGTGTCAATGATGGTTTTCTGCACAACTACCAGGTCAGCAGTCTTTTCCATGATTGTGATTCCTACTGAACCAGACTGAGAGACCATTTAAAGGTTCAGGAACCCTTTGCAGGTGTTATGGCTTAATTAGCTGATTAGAGTGGGACACTTTGAGCCGAGAATATTCCACCTTTTCACAATATTCTCATTTTCTGAGATTGTGGATTTGGGGTTTTCATGAGCTGTAAGCCATAATCATCACAATTATGACAAATCACGGCTTGAACTATCTTGCTTTGCGTGCAATGAGTCTCATATATTAGTTTCACCTTTTAAGTTGCATTACTGAAAAATGAACTTTTTGCACGATATTCTAATTTTTTTAGTTTCACCTGTACATGGGGTTTTGTCTATATTTTTAATAAATTGCAAAGATTTCAAAATGAACTTCTTTCATGTCATTATGGGGTATTGTTTGTAGAAATAATTATGGAAAAAACTGAGTTTAATCCATTTTGGAATAACGCTGTAACATAACAAAATGTGGCAAAAGTTAAGCGCTGTGAATACTTTCTGGATGCACTGTATATTCCTTGGTCTTTCAATTTCGCCGGGTGCCAAAGCCAAGCAACCTGCTTCACTTCACACTACACTCAAGGAAAAAGGGATGTCTTGAAAGTTCAGTTAACTTTAGTTTGCAAACACGCACTGCAGACCTCCCATCTGAGGCCATACCTGTAATGCGTTTCACCAATTACAGGGCTTAGGCCCTTAGTGAGACTTAAAGCGAATATTTCTCCCACAACAGCAAAAATACATGGTGCATGCACCTCTGTATACCTCTTCGAAAACATTTGTTGAGAAACACTAATCCACAACTTTTGTGGTTTGTCCATGTCCAAGATTAATATGGCTACTGACCTCTAAATGAATTGCACTTCCAGTTGCCTCACAGCTGCACCCTACGTCACAAGGCTACGTCAGTAGTGTTTTCTAAGGAGATCTCTTCTGTAATCGTAAAAGATTTTGCAAAGTCTTGGGAAGCGGCGAGGGGTGATGCATTTTTTCCCCCACAGATGACATGTACATGTCAGGGAAGGGGTGGCATGAAATCCGGGAAGTGAAGGGAGAGATAATCATCTCTTCTTACTAAAGATGACCTCAAGTTTAAGAGCAATGAAAGCAAATACACCAAAGACATTCAACCGACAGTGAAGGGTGAATGTCTGTCTTTTTTTTTTTTAATCTGCGTTTCATAATATTTTTAAAGGTGCCTTTATTCACAATTCAAATAAAGGTCCGCTTTAATTCTCAGATTCCCTTTTCCATTATGACCCATAGGGTTCAATGTGGGTTTTTACAATGTTTGTCTGAGACCTGTACATAAGGCAAGAGTTGATCACTGGTGCAATGCTTTTCAGGCTCCTGCAGACAAAAATAATTGTACTTTTTTTTTACCTGCCAAAAAAGTGCATTTATTATTTTTGTCTAAAAGGTGAATTTATCATTTAACCACTTCCTGTCCGGACACTTTTACCCCCTTTCTGTCCAAGGCAATTTTCAGCTTTTAGCACGATCACACTTTGAATGACAATTGCACGGTCATGCAACACTGTACCCATATGAATTTTTTACCATTTTTTTGAGACCGATAAAGCTTTATTTTGGTGCTATTTATTCACTGCTGGGATTTTTATTTTTTTTGCTATGTAAATTAAAAAGTCCAAAAATTTTGAAAAGTGTTTTTCTTATAAAATTTTGCAAATAAATAATCTTTCATCATAAATCTTGACCAAAATGTATTCTGTTATAATTTTTGGTTATAAACTAATTTGGCTTAATTTTTTTTTTTACTAAATATAATTTTTAAACCTTTTTTTTACATTTCTATTTTATTTTTTCTATTCTGATTTTTTTTTTTTTCTTTTACATACTGTCACCCTAGCAGTACAGTGTCACCATGGTGACACTGTACTACTTGTGGGGGGTGATGAAGATTTTTTTTTTTTTTTTTTTTTTTTTACAATGATTGCTTTTACACCCATATAGAATGTAAAAGCAATAATTTCTCTTTCTCTTTCTCTCTGTCTGCATTCTTGCAGCCATTGAGAAATATTGAGTGAGCTGTGATTGGTCACAGCTTGTCACATGGTACAAGGCTGTTGTGAATAGCCTTGTACCATGTGACCTCTGTGATCTTTCACAGATTTCACACGTAGTAAGCAATGATGTCACAAGTGACATCTTGCTTACTACTTTGCATGTGATCACTAATTGGCCAATCAGTGATCACATGATCGGGACCTCGTACAGAGGTCCTGCCCGACGATCGCCCGGAGGACACAACGGGCACCGGATCGCGGTGCTGCGCGCTCCCAGGGAGCGCGCACAGCTAGAAAAGGCGGGTGCCGTTTATGAACGGCAACCCGCCCCTGGAGTGCCGCCGCCCTGCCGTTTATAAACAGCAGGCGGACGGCAAGTGGTTAAACAATGCTGTGTGTGACTTTGTACATCTGCAGCTTTGCTTTAGAAAAAAACCTAAAATTTGTGGCAAGGTATTGGCTTTGTTATAGTAATGAGTACCAAAAGGTGTACATGCTAATAGGCCGTTGGAACCATGGAAATTGTTAGTTTTACCCTTACCCACTGCCCTGACTGTGGTATTTTTTAGGTTTCTTTTTTAAAACTGAATGATTAGGACACCACTTGGATTTCCTCCAAACTGATATTTCCCTTCATTTATTAGACAAAACAAAAACCCGCAGCTGGGAATGATACCTTCTGGTTGCAATTATGTAGGCCTCTGTCTTGACCATTGTGGATGACTGTTTTTTGTTTTTTTTCTTCAGGTTCCAGTCCGGCAAGGCTCCCAGTCTGTATCCCAACAGCCATATCACCAACAGGTGCTCATCCCTAACCAGTCCAACCAGGGGCCCTTACCGACCGCAGGGATGCCGGTCTATTACAGCGTCATTTCACCAGGGCAACAAAATAACTTGAGGTAAATGTGATCTGAGGGTGTGGGAAATAAGACACAGCACAAAACTTAAAGGCACAGTTCACCTTTGCCAAAAACTACCTATGTAGGTAAAGACTATCTGTAGATAAAAACAGATGATGCAGCTTTGACCAAAGTTGAATAATGCTTGCTATAATTGTAGGCCATTAATGTACCTCCCGAAGCCTGGTCGAAAAACTTATAAATGGCATCTCATCCTACCTTGTTCTAGGATGCTGCAAAGAGATTCCTAGCTCTTACTGTTCACCACCATCATCACAGGAGTAAGCTCTTTCCCGGATTCCTTTTTCAAAAACTTTTCCCTGGTGCAGTCGCTCTGAGCTCAGTGTTGAGAGTTCACTCTGTGATGGTGGAGGTGAGCAGTAAGAGCTAGGAGTATCTTGGTGACAGAGCAGCACCGAAGGATGGGGGGGAGATGTAATCTCTTGTAGTTTTTCAGTCAGGCTTCATAACGTATGTGAATGGCCTACATCTATAGCAAGGCCATTACTCAACTTTGACTAACCAATTGCTGTCCGCCCCATTGCCGGTTTACTGCTGCAGGGTGGCTGCTGTGTGCAAAATCGTGTGTGTGTGTGTATATATGTGTGATTTTGGTATTCCGCATTGCTGGCGCACACACATTCTGCCGGCGCACTGCTTCTGCTGTGATTTGTCACAGCTGAAGCCAATCAGCGGGTGCCGGCCAATGGATGTCCGCTGGCACCCACTGATTGTAAGGGAACCAACAGGACGTAGCTCTACCTAGTCAGGAAGGTGGGGTCAGTCTTCCAGGGGTCAAGCTGCCTAGTTTGTTTTTATGTACAGGCATCCTTTACCTGTATAGGCAGTGTTTGTTTTTGTTTTTTTTGTTATTTTTGGTAAAGGTGAACTATGTCTTTTTAATATTATTGGCATCTTTGGTTTGTCATATAAAAACATGACAATATTTGTTCTATGTGGAAGATACTTTACAGCATACAGTTGATTACAGGACATCGATGCAAATGTTCACCAAATGTTTCATGCCATGTTTGCTGGACTCATTCCCTTTAACACAACGTGCAGACTGACCATTTTGTTTCATACTTATATTTGATCTTTTTTTCTGTTTTGCGCTTCCTTCTGCTAGCGCTGTGCAAACTATTGGCGCTAAATAAATCCTGTATAACAATATTTTTTGAAGGAAAAAAAAAAATAAACTCACACTGTGTATGCTTGATATTCCACAAAACCTTTACTTGTCTGTAGTCCAGTGGTTGCATGACATTTTGGAGGTGGTTGTGTGTTCAGATCTTACAATTTGCTCTGATAATATGAAAGTTGTGGGATGGTTTCCCTTTTGTTGTATAATAATGCATGTCAATCTTTATATTTTCAGCTCCTCGGTAGGATATATGCACCCTCCAGGGTCTGACCAGATGCAGTTCCCTAGAGCAACCTCTCCATGTTCTCAAGCATTGCAGGGTCCTCCGTGTGCAGGTACATGAAGAGATGTGTGATTATTGCTGTGTGTGAGCATTTTGTCCACGGATCTTTGTGGACACTCAGAAATCCATAAACCAGGTTTAAAGGATAAGTTTACCTTTCTCAACTTGCTACTACTGTATTTAGGGTGTAACATGCTGTGCATCCACCGCTGGACCCACCCCCATCCTTGTGATCCACCCCCTACGCATTTGCTTTCACAATTTGAAAACAGCATGGCCGCATGGGACTCCGGCCACACAGCCGCATCATTTATTTATTTATTTCAGGTACTTGTATAGCGCTGTCAATTTTACGCAGCGCTTTACATATATATATATATATATATATTGAACATTCACATCAGTCCCTAACCCTCAAGGGGTGTACAATCTAAGGTCCATAACTCATATTCATACATACACATATTAGGGCCAATTTAGACAGCAGCCAATTCACCTACCAGCATGTCTTTGGAGTGTGGGAGGAAACCCACGCAAGCACAGGGAGAACATGCAAACTCCATGCAGGAGGCGCCATGGTCGGGAATCGGACCCATGACCCATTTAGTGCAAGGCAGACGTGCTAACTACTAAGCCACTGTACCGCCCATCATTCCATCAGAGTTCTGTGAATAAAAGCCTACAAGTGTCGTCAGCCATTGCAGCTGATGGCTTGTAGTTTTCAATGAACCACGAGGGTAATGGTGAGCACTCTTGTAGTCTGTTGAACTTTCTGGACTGGAGTAACTGCCTGCCTGTGCGCAAAGTTTGGGCAGTGTACTCAGTCTGGAAGAGCCTGACGTTACATCCGTGATTGGCTGATCGCTGGTGCAATGCTTTACAGGCTCTCAAGAAAAAAAAATAAAATAAATGTATATTTCTTTTTTACATTATTATTATTTATTTATTTTTTCTGTAAAGGTGAACTTATCCTTGAACCCAGCTCACACACTGTCACTACAGACAAAAGCTGTTTCTGCAATTGCTTAAAGTTGTTGTAAACCTCAGACATGAAATATGAATAAAACATATCTGTCTATAGTGCGTATTTGTCTCCATCCAGAGCACGAAGTGTCAGTTCTGTCTGTGCTTTGTTTCTCTGCTATCAGCATGAGTCACTTCTGACAAGTTTTGCTGACACCAACAAAAAAATGGTGACAGGGGAGGGACCTCCAGCAGACTGACGACATGAGCTGTGTGGAAGGGATGTGTCCCATCCTTCCAATCCTCTGTCAGCTCTTCAGTGTGTAATTTTAGCTGTCCGTCCCATTTTATAAACGCTTAGACAAGCTTTATGAATTAGCACTTTGAACAGATGTAGAGAAGTGTAAACTGCAGATAGAAAGGTACAACGTATGTAGGAGGATTTGTTTCATCTGTGTATCACCTGAGGCCAGTCACTTCACTGAGTGTAGGTAAGGATTTCCAACCATTTTAAAGCAGAACTCCGGCCTTCCCTTCCGTTTTACACGGTTGTGCCGGCTCCTCTCCTCTTGTACTGGATGTGTTTAGTCTGATTTCACTGTGAGCTTCTCACAAAGGATACTGAGGAACTGTCTACTGCTGCATTGTGGGGAGCACCATCTGCTGGGGAAGCAGAGAATCAGAGAAGTAAAACTGTTCCTGCCTTCCATTGGACAGAATGAGTTGTTAACCCTCGCAGTCCTGGCGCAACTTTTTTTAATGCCTGAAGTTGTGCTTAAATGTCATGTGTTTTATAGTGTTTATATAGTTTTTGCTGTGCAATTGTGACCTCTGGTTGGTCTACTTATTTGCACTTTGTATTATACAGACATATTCTGCAAGGCTCAGACTTGATGTACCTGTATTGCTGTTCTCTGAACTTTTGTCCTTTTTAACTTACAGCTTTCATGTTTATTCATTTTTCTATTAGTGAAATTAGGCATGTGTGCTAGCCTTTGTTCCTTCTTCCAGCCGCAGTTTTATGTAGAACAAAGTCTGAAAATCACAAAGAGCTTTTCCTTTCTTTTTTTTTTGTTTGTTTTTTTTAGCTGTACCAGCACCTCCCCCTGGTGGTGGAATGGTAATGATGCAGCTCAATGTTCCCAACAACCCACCACCTCAAACGCATTCGCCACCTCAATGGAAGCCAAATAAATATTATTGTGACCACCAGAGGGCACATAAAACTGTAGAATATGGCAGCCTAGATCCTTCTACACAGGTAAGCAGTTAATAGGATGCTACAATCCAAATGCTGAATATCTGTGACATTTAAAGTGATATTAAAGGCAGATTTAAAAAGTAAAGAAAAATGGCAAACCTATTTAATTTACCTGCTCTGTGTATTGGTTTTGCGCAAATCGGCCCGGAACCTCCTCTTCTCAGGTCACACCGACTGCCCCTGCCAAGTGCCCCCCCAGAGCAAGCAGCTTGTTCTGGGGGCACCCAAGCAGGCTTTTCTTCTGTGACCATTCACACACGCACAGCATGGCTAGGTCTCATGCCCCCCCAACACACACACATCTCATTGGCTCACTGGCTGTGATTGACAGTAGCAGGAACCTATGGCTTCTGCTGCTCTCATCCATTGAGGAGAAAGATACATGGGGAGAGCCAGTGCTCTTGTGCACATAGCTGGATTAAGTTGAGGTTCAGGTAAGTAGTTTGGGGGGCTGCTGCACATAGAAGTAAACAGTAAACGTTGTGTGCAGCTCTGGTTTATATATGCAGGTATTCCTAACACAAAAAGCACCTTCTATTGCTCTCCACCTCCTCTGTAGTTCAGAAGTAACTTTTCAGTAAATGAATATAAGAACACTTTTTCAGTGGTGTATTTATTTATTTATTTATCGAGTTTATATAGCGCCAAAGGGTTTGCTCAGCGCTGTACAATAGAGGGGGGACAATACATGAAACAGAACAGAACATCAAACAGTACACAAGGGGTAAGAGGGCCCTTCTCTTTCGAGCTTACAATCTAGGAGGGAGGGGTTAGAGGCACAGGAGGAAACGGCTGTGGGGGATGGAGTGGTAGGAGGAGGGAAGGGCAGCGGCTGTTAGGTGAGGGTGGGGTAGGCTTCCCTGAAGAGGTGGGTTTTCAGGGAGCGCCTGAAGGTGAGGAGGGAAGGTGACAGTCTGATGGATTGGGGTAGTGAGTTCCAGAGGATGGGGGAGGACCTGGAGAAGTCTTTAACAGAACAATAGGAACAAATACAAACCTGAATTATATACATTAACCTCTTGGAGCTGGCCGCATGCAAATGTGCGGCCTCCCTGCATCTGGGCCTTGACTCTGTGTGTCCACACATTTACGTGCAATTAAGAAAAACATATGTGCTGAGAGCGCATTCCCAGCACACGTGTCCGGTACTCACGGAAAGGTCCCGATCTCTTTTGATCGGGACCTTTCCTGATCATGTGACCACCGTGACAGTGAATCACTGCGGTCACATGACCCTAAAGCCCCACCTCCCGGATTCTGAAACCCTTAAAGGGCCAGGAGGCACCAGCACCAAGGGGTTAAGGGATGAGAACAGGTTTAGCTCCAGTGGGCCGGGGTTCAGATTGGACAAATGGAGGCAGAGTTTGGGTACAGGTCAGATGAATGGAGATCTATAAAATCCAAATAGAAGTTGCACTCCTCATAGTATATTTGTCTGTTATTTGGTGGGTGCTCAAAGTGCTTTTATGGATGGTGCTGTTCAAGAAATACAGTGGTACCAGCACTCCAAAGAGGATTTTTTTTCTGTTTCAATATTTTTATTAAGAAAGTTTTGATTTTTAAGCATATAGCAAGCTCAAAATATGCCCTCGCAGGGGCAGAGCAGAACAATAACATATAAACAGGGATATCCTGCTGACTGGTGTTCGTCAAATAGCAAAAATTTCGATGATATCAAGAAGGCCAACAGCCGAGCCAAATAGCAGCAGTAATCCAACATAATAGTGGAAAAAAGAGAAAAAGGAAATTAGAAAAGAAAACAAAAGGGAATCAGAAAGAAAATATGAAGAAAGGGAAACTAAAAAGAGGATTTTTTTCATCATTATTGTGGTGGCTGTGACTTGCAGAGTCCCCTCTTTTCTTAACTGATATGATGCCTGCCTTCAGAATAAGGCTTTATTCATATGGGTGTAACTATGTGTTCACCCGTGCGAAGGGCTGTCTTTGCCTTTGCAGCTTGCACAGATGTTCCGAACGTGAATGCAGCGAATCCCATTTGCACCTATTGGGATGATTCGGCTGCACGGACACAGTGGCTATTTCCAGTTTGACAGCCGTACGGGTGTGGGCCCCTGAATGCAGACCGTGTGCATTTGGGGACACCTGTATGACTGTCAGATTGAAACCGCCAACCGCTTCAAACCCAATAGACCTAAATGGGACTGCAGATGCACAGAGCTCCTGTAGAAGGCAAAGAGAGCCCTTTGCACGAGTGTACGCATAAGTACGTCCATGTGGATGATTCCGAAATAGGCAAAAAGCTTTTATTTGGAGTGCTGGGGACTTCATGCCTGCAATACTGTAGTCTGCCCATAAATTAAGCTCCCCTAAAACCAAGTTAAGATTTTAGAAGATACTTGTGGGCAACATTTATTCCAAACATATTGACGCATTGTATTCTAACTGACATCTTAGGCCAGGTTCACACTATCGTGGCTTTGTGAGCCATGATTTGCGCATGCATGGCAGCCCGTTAATTTGAATGTGCTACCATGCCTCCTGTAACACAGGAAAAGGTCCCTGCATCATTTTAGAAATCAATGCCCAAATAGAAAACTCAAGTACATTGCGGTTCCCAGTGTAGGAAGTGGCTGCAGCGATGTCCAGTGCGTGCGGGTGCCATCAGGCTTAATGGCACCTGGACGCATCTCCTGTGTTTTCACTGTGCAGGTCGTTGAGGGAACAGGTAATAACCTGCACAGGTGTGAACCTAGCCTCAGATTCCCTATAAAGAAAATTTTTACTATATCAGTATAAGGTGTTTTTGTTTTTTTTTTGTTTTGTTTTGTTTTTTAAAAAAACTGTTGCAACTGGAAGTTAGGGTAACAGGTGTCCCCATTGGGAAAATGTGACTTCTATACTCCAACTAGTATTTTTGTATTTAACAAGATATTCTAAATGTTATTAGGATATCACAGTAAACCTATGTGTGTGTATATACATGTGTGACAGCTGCTTATTTTATGTATATTTTGTCTCCTCTTACAGCATAGTTCCCACATTAGCAGTCCTGTCACATCACCCAATCAGTCACCAGTTCCTGTGCAGTTAGCCAACATGAAAAACATCCGCCCGGGTTTAACGCCTCTCCCTTTAGTTCCACATTTTTCTAGACCTTTTGTTCCTGGCCAAGGTAAGAGGGTTTTTGTGTTCCCCACTGTTACCCTTGGAGTACTTTACATTTTGTAGGCCATTAAAGGGCACTACTTGTAAATCATATCCTATGTCCGTATAGAAAATGCATGCTAATGCTTAGCCGGAATTCAGTCTGTAAATGGTATACTGTAGCAGCCATTTCTGTTTAGACTGCATACAGAGAGCTTACTTTCTGGTTTATTCTCATGAGCCTTATAGCTTACCAAAATCTATGGCAACTTAAATTCTGTGCGGCCAATAAACCAGGTATTTTTTGAAGAGGGCTGTTTTATCAGTTTGGCACGCTACCTATCACAGTGCCAGGGATTCTAACTGGCAGACCCAAAATCTTTGCAATGGGGCTTTTCAATTTTCATTTACTGTGTAGTTCATATTTGCCATTTTTCCATAGAAGATCTTTTCTGTATGGGCAGTTTAAACTATATGACTGTTATCTCGCTTGCTCCAGGTCTGGGTCAGTTTTGATAGCACTGTAACTAATAGACCTTACACAATGTAAGCATTCTCAGCTTCATCAACCGAATTCCAGCATTAGCTTTAAATGGTTAGTTCACCTTTTTAGAAAAATTGAAAAGGCAGACTACCACCCTCCACCTTCTCCTCCCAATTCCTCATTCTTCGCTGTACTTGCCTCTATGGGTGATGAGTTGTCAGTGCCCAAGCAGCCGGTGCAGCATTCTGGGTACTTGAAATCTCCGCTCTTTTATCCCCTCTTTCTGCGGGGCTTCCAGGATGGATTTGAGTGATTCTGATTGGTCAGTGAAGGCACTTAGATTTTGATTTACTACAACTAGAGAGTGCAAACTCTGGTGCAGCTCTGCATAGAAACCAATCGGCTTCCATGTTTAATTGAACAAGCTGAAGTTAGAAGCGGATTGGCTACCATGCACAGCTGCACCAGAGTTTTAGTAAATCAACCCCACAGTATTGCTCTGATCCATCCTGGAAGCCCTGCAGAGAGAAGAGGGAGGAGAGCATGGATTTCAAATAGCTGGACTGCTGACTGACAACTCATCACCCACGGAGGGAAGTATAATGGGAACCGGGGTGGGATAGGGGGGTGTAGACTGTTAGTTCAAGCTTTCATTTTTCCTAAAAAAGTGAACTAACCTTTTAATGCCATGGATAGCCACTACTTTTTATTGGGTTTGTATAAAGTAGGAAAAGGTTAAAACCCCTGCCAGTTTACTTTTTTTTTCTGTGCATTTCTGGGGAAATGTCTCTTCACTTCCTCTCCCAGAGATGCAACTGGAAGTTAGGGGAACAGGTGTCCCCATTGGGAGATTGTGACTTCTATACTCCAACTGTACTGCCCCTTTAACTACAGAACTGTGATGGCACAGAGGCACTTCTCACAAAATGGCAGCCTGCATAATACAGTTTCCTAGGAAGAACAGCCAGGTTCAGCCTTGGCAAAACGGACACATTGTTTATGTATTTTAGAATGTTTGCATGCTGGCTTCCATTTTCCCCCACTGCTCTCTCTTTTACATTTTATAACCTCCTGTGTATATCGGCTTGCATTTTACCTGTGCACTTTTTTTTTTGTTTTTTTTTTTTTTTGTTTTTCTGGCAGGTGATACAAGATATCCGTTACTTGGTCAGCCATTACAGTACAATGCTCCTCAGTTAGTGCACGGACATATAACAAGTCAACAGGTTCATAACCATTCTTCAATCTGCATTTCATTTCTGGAATGTGATGGAGGGGATCTGACAAATTGAAAATCCCCTTGAGCCTAAATCATACATATACTTTAATCTCAGACAAGATCCTATATGAAAGTGATATGGATCAGTACATGTTGGGTTTGATTTACTAAAACTGGAGAGCACTAAATCTGGTGCAGCTCTGCATAGAAACCAATTGAGCGCTAAATCTAGAGCAGCTCTGCATAGAAACCAATTGAGAGCTAAATCTGGAGCAGCTCTGCATAGAAACCAATTGAGCGCTAAATTTGGAGCAGCTCTGCATAGAAACCAATTGAGCGCTAAATCTGGAGCAGCTCTGCATAGAAACCAATTGAGCGCTAAATATGGTGCAGCTCTGCATAGAAACCAATTGAGCGCTAAATCTGGAGCAGCTCTGCATAGAAACCAATTGAGCGCTAAATCTGGAGCAGCTCTGCATAGAAACCAATTGAGCGCTAAATCTGGAGCAGCTCTGCATAGAAACCAATTGAGCGCTAAATATGGTGCAGCTCTGCATAGAAACCAATTGAGAGCTAAGTCTGGAGCAGCTCTGCATAGAAACCAATTGAGCGCTAAATCTGGAGCAGCTCTGCATAGAAACCTATTGAGCGCTAAATCTGGAGCAGCTCTGCATAGAAACCAATTGAGAGCTAAATCTGGAGCAGCTCTGCATAGAAACCAATTGAGAGCTAAATCTGGAGCAGCTCTGCATAAAAACCAACTGATCAAGTTGTAGTTAGAAGCCGATTGGCTCCTATGCACAGCTGCACCAGACTTCGCACTCTCCAGTTTTATTAAATCAGCCCCATTGTGTCTGATATTCACATGTAGACTTATTCTGCGAAAAGCGGTGAAGAAGTGCACAGTTACCTGTAGAAAACAATTACATTTCACTGTGTTCAGGCCAGTAAAAAAATGAACTGGGGAAACCTTTCTATTGATTACTGCATTTTGCTTTTATTAAAGTGCAAGTCCAATGGTAATGGACTGATAGTTGCGTATGGCCAAGCCTGTCCGTTTTGGAGTTTTACTTACTCCTAATATTCAGTTGATAACCATCAAATGGACTTTTGTGTGGTGAAAATGTAAAGATGTTCTTCCTGTGATTATTTAATAAAGAATTTATATGGAAAAGTGTTTACTTTACAAAAATGTATGGCATTGTCCTGGCACTGTTTGGACAGCATGAGCAGTAAAATTCAGTATTTTGCTTTGAGAAAGGGTAGGTACTTGGGACATCAGGAGCATGGATCAGAGGTTGCTTGGCTGCTAATTGGTCAGGCCACCAGTGATCCATAGCTCTGACATCATAGGCTAGGCTTCCACCCCTTTAAGCACGCGGAGCATAGGAAGCATATTTGCTGGCCAGGGAATGCCAGCACAGGCGCCCAAGGCTGTAAAAAAACAGCAATGTAGGCCTCCTTTACAGATCTGGCCTTGTTTAACCACCAAAAGTCCATTGAAAGTAGACTAAACCTAAAAGGACATTTCCACCTTCACATTGAACAGATTCCTTCCTCTGTTCTGCTTATCGGTGTTCTCCACTGCAACTCTGAAATTGGTATATTGCGTGCATTGCAATGGCACACTGTTATTGGCTGCCACTTTTTGACCACAACTCCCATCACAGAGAGATACAAATGGTGTTTGCTCGAACAGCAGGACTGACGAAACTATTGCCGTCGTACAAGATGGTGTCTGAAGTAGACAGCCAGTCACAGTGCAGAACCTATGCATGTGTAACTGCAGTGCACGAGGAAAAGGGAAGTATCCAGCATACATAACATGAGCGCATGTATTGTTATCAGAGGTACGCCTGTTAAATTGATTGCTGTAGGAGGCAATGATCAGATGAAGGGAAATAAGGCAACATTCCCAAGTATTTTAGTAGGCGGAGCAAGAAACCATTAAGCAATACTTGCATGAAGGTGGGAATCCACTATACGGCAGTTAAAACTTGGCACACACTTTTGTTTCAGAACAGCGTTGTATTGAGGACTGGTAAAGGGAACCTGTTTAGCTTTTATAGTTGCTAAATAACTGGCAGAGGTATAAAGCAGGCATATGGAGAGGTGTGCATGGCCCCAACGTTCTCTAATAAGCAAATGGAAACCTCAGGAACTGAAGTTATACTTGCCTGCCCCATCCCACCTTCTGTTCCTTACTATTGGGAAGTGAGGTTTTCCATAACAGCAATGGACCAGAAGGCAGGCAGTTCCTTAAGTCATTATTTGTCTTTGAAAGTAGCCCAAACCATGGGGCTCTCGAGGTGCTCTATGAACATACCTATGGGCATTTTCAACTTACTGTTTTACTCCTTGCAAGGGGTTTGCCAACTTTGAAGTCAATACAGTTTCCCTTTAAAGTTTATTTAAAGCCAATACTTTTTTTTTTTTCAGTTTTTCGAGTAGGGAATGAATAAAACAATTGCCAATTTTTTGGTTCCCTTGGGGTGAATTATCTTTCTTCCTGTCCATTAGAAGGATAACTCTTCAAAATTGGAAGAATTCCTTGTGTTGTCTCATAACTCCAAACTAGAATCCCACCATGAAACAAGTTTTTCTGCTCTGGTAATGACTTGAAATTTTGAATTTGTCCCCCAATTTTTAGGTCCAAATAGTGACAGTGAACTCGTGAGACTCAGGTACCAATAACAATAAGAAAAAAAACCTGAAATGTGTATTGGAGGCTCTGGATTTGATATCAGTACTTAATGATTGAAGCAACTCTAAAACATTGTGCCTCCTAGCTGGAGGCCCCAAAGCATAAGAGATAGAGATATATATAGATAGATAGAGATATAATATATATATATATATATATATATATATATATATATATATATATATTATACACACACACACACACTCACAGTTGTGTTCAAAATAATAGCCGTGTGTTGAAAAAAAATGAATACAGCTCAAAATCCTTCTAATAGCTTTTATTTCCATCCACACAAATGCATTGGGAACACGACACATTCTATTCCAAATCAAAACATGCAGAAAAATATATCAAATTTGTGTTGTTCCTCTAAAAACAAATTGAAGAAAAGTGACTATTAGACTGTTCAAAAAAATCGCAGTGTTTGTATTCTTCTTTACAAACTCAAACATTCACTATATAAACTGAAAAATGTTTGAAGATTTTGCTTTCCTTTGAATCACTTAATGAATATTTAGTTGTAGTCGCACTGTTTCTGAGAACTGCTGTACATCTGTGTTGCATGGAGTCAACCAACTTCTGGCACCTGTGATCAGGTATTCCAGCCCAGGATGATTGGACTACATTCCACAGTTCTTCTCTATTTCTTGGTTTGGCCTCAGAAACGGCATTTTTGATGTCACCCCACAAGTTTTATATTGGATTAAGATCTGGGGATTGGGCTGGCCACTCCATAACGTCAATCTTGTTGGTCTGGAACCAAGATGTTGCATGTTTACTGGTGTGTTTGGGGTCGTTGTCTTGTTGGAACACCCATTTCAAGGGCATTTCCTCTTCAGAATACTTGAAGAGGTCATTCTGCTGCCTTATGCTGATGTATTCAAACTGATCCATGATCCCTGGTATGCAATAAATAGGCCCAACACCGTAGTATGAGAAACATCCCGATATGATGCTTGCGCAACCATTCTTCACTGTCTTCACCGTGTACTGTGGCGTGAATTCAGTGTTTGGGGGTCGTCTGACAAACTGTCTCCGCCCACTAGACCCAAAAAGAACAATCTTACTTTCATCAGTCCACAAAATGTTGCGCCATTTCTCTTTAGGCCAGTCAATGTGCTCTTTGGCAAATTGTAACCTCTTCAGCACGTCTTTTTTTCAACAGTGGGACTTTGCGGGGGCTTCTTGCAGATAGCTTGGCTTCACATAGGCGTCTTCTAATTGTAACAGGACTCACAGGGAACGTCACACCTTCTTTGATCTCCTGGAGCTGATTGTTGGCTGAGTCCTTGCCATTTTGGCTATTCTTCTATCCATTCGAATGGTAGTTTTTCGCTTTCTTCCACGTCTTTTAGGTTTTGGTTGCCATTTTAAAGCATTTGCGATCATTTTAGCTGAGCAGCCCCATCATTTTCTGCACTTCTTTATATGTTTTCCCCTCTGCATTCAACTTTTTAATCAAGGTACGCTGTTCTTCTGAACAATGTCTGGAACAACCCATTTTCCTCAGAATTTCAGAGAGAAATGCACTGTAACCAGCATGTACAACATTTGCTGCCTTCCTTCCCTAAATTAAGGGCAATAATTGCCACCTGTTTTTCAAAGAATGAATGACCTCACTAACAGAACTCCACACTGCTCTGCTATTATTTTGAACATTAGTGATTCAATTACACAGAATCAGCAGCATGCATGTCATGACTGTTGGGTCTGTTGGATTTCTATTACTCTACTACACCTGCTAGTAAAATATTTGCCATGTGTAGAAATATCATTTCTACCAAAAACCGTGATTGATCAAAATAATAGCAGTCAGCCATCACTAACCTGAACACAACTGTGTGCATGTATGTGTGTATATGTGTGTGTGTGTGTGTGTATATGTATATATATATATATATAAGAGAGAGAGTCCTTTGAACATTTGTATTTGCTCATAACACAACAATATGGAACCGCAAACACATTTTGGGATTCAGACACACTCCCTTCATTGAAGCTTATAAATGCAAAAGCGCACAAATGCTGAAGAGTTGCCAATATTGCTCTTCACTATACACATACAAGTACTAAAAAAGCAAGCTATGAGGTCCAACTTACAGCATTTATGAGCCCTGTTGAAGAGGAAATGTCTGAAACCTGAAATACAGAGCTGTTCCCTTTTTGTTCTATGTGCAAGCTTTAAAAGATTTTGGACTCTTACATCTTTGGTCTGGCATTCTTTGGACTGTTTACACATATCATATAAAAAAAAAATCTGACAGGAACGCTAACCCTGCCTTATTTTAGTATACCAAACAAAAAGAAA